ACTACTGGAGGGCCAGCTACCTTGGAGAGGCATCTGCACCAATAAAAGGATGTGGTGAGATAGCAGCGTAAGCGGCACCTAGATTGTGCCGGCTGCTAGATGAATCCCCCAATTGGATAACTTGAGATTTGACACGCATGTGCCCAAGCAGCCATGGGAGATCAAAGGAGTTAGTCATACCTTGAGGTTCAAACTGAGGGGTCTCCCCACCCCCAGCCGCTGCAGAACCGGATGCAGCATCGGGTGGCATGTCACCCTTCGGCGTCTCAGGGACGCCCGACTCTTTGCCAACCAGCTCAGTGCTTAGACCAAGATCCTTCAGGCTTTTGCCTGCAGAAGTTGGTCGGTCCTGTACAGGCGGCAGAGATGATGTCGTCTGGGTAGGCGGGGCTTTCCTTACTTTGGAGGGAATCTTCGCAGGTTCATCAGCCTTCCGTTTGAGCATCTTGGAGATGGATCGTGGAATGTTTTTGCTTCCACTTTGAAAGTGGAACATAGGGTTACAGCCGGTTAAAAGCCGTCTGATGACAATAAACGTTTACAAGTTAAAGGATACAACCGGAGCTTACCCCATCATTCTTGGCCGCCGGCTGGGCCCTTTTCTTCCCAAGTTGATCCATCCGGATCTGAGCTGCTCACCTGGAAGGCGTCCTTGCAGAGTCCACCATTTTTAGAGCTTTTTCTGCAAAAGGGAACCTGTTGGTTAAATACAAAACAAATCACAAAACCCTAGAGACGGCATCAAAATGTCGGTTAAATGGTCAACGTACGTCTCTCAAACATGGTACTAAGACCACAGGCGGAGAGGAAAGCCTCATCTTTAAGCCAATCCGGATGGGGTACCCAATTCTTGGGTACAATTATTTCAATGCCGTCTTCCAGAGGCATGGTGATTGTCTTGAAGAACTTCGGCTCTATTATCTGTGACCAAGCCTCCTTAGGGATATGCAGAAGGGCGCACTTTTTTCCCATAAGAGTCGGTTTCTTATTATACCGGCGGAGGAGATGGTTTTGACGTCTGGATGGGGAGGAAACTAAGTAGAACTTGCTCTTCCAATTGCTCCACTTAGACGTTTTACCCAGCATCATCATGTACTCTGGATGCGTGGTTAAAGTGTACCACGCTCTCCAGCCGCCTAGGGCACGACTTAAGTAGTGCATGTGTGAAAACGCCTCCCGGCTGGGCGTTAAGTTTTTCATCTCGCAGACAGTGATATAGTAAAGGATGTTCACCTAGGAATTGGGTGTGAGTTGCCATACGCCAATCTCGTAACCCCTTAAGATGGTTTGATTGCGTCATGAAGGGGGGTAAGACCCTATTTATAGAGGGGTAGAAAAAAGGGGCTTCCCTTGTAATTTCCCCAGAAGGTGAACAGTCAAAAAACCGTTCACCCAGTCTAGAGTGACATGTGTCACAGGCACCACGTGGCACACCCCTGTGAGGGATAAATGATTTGGGTAAAAATACCCATGTCACATGGCCCAATCAAAATGGGACACGTGTCACCCCAAGACAGGTCCTATAAAGGCCACTCACCAGTTGACACGTGGCACTCCAAATCAGCAAGGGAAAAAGACGACTTTTAGGGCCCAATTCCCTAGACTGCCAAAAAACGGCGCAGCCCATCAGTCCTAGGTTTCCATAACCTAGGACAGGGGCACAAATTCCAATGACTCTACAAATAGGGAGATTTAACTCACTTTGAAAAAACACATTCAATTATAGAAAACACTAAATTCTCTTGAAAATAGAGAAAAACACCTGATCTCGGAATTTGAGAAGATCCCACTTTACTTTTCGCACCATTTTACATTCTCCGTACACGTTCTAACTTGATCGTCGGAGGCAAAACTCACCCAACCGGAGTCTTTGTTATTTTGCAGGTACAGGCGCCCGGAATCCTGTCTAGTGACGTAACTCTCTCGAGGGACACAAAATACCCCGAAACAAGAACCATACATAATATCATTAAAGTCTTAATGGTACTATCAAACATCAAATTAGTACCATTAAAATTTAAATTTTTTGTATTACAAATAGATTTTTTTTTTAAACATGGTAATAAATTTCAATGATACTAATGTGGTATTTGATAGTATCAATAAAACATCAATGGTATTACATATGTTTTTAATGGTACACAAATTATAACATTGAAATTAAATTTTTGTAGAAAATGACCAAAATACCCCCATGATGTATGATGCTCATACAGCATGGGTATGTGCCCAAAATCCCTCACTAAATTGCACTAAAATCAAAGTTAGTTCTAAATGCTCTTAAAATATTCCAAACTATATGTAGTTTTTTTTAGTCAGGATCCTTAATGTAGTTAAATACTATATATATATATGGTTTATCAAGTTTTCAACTAATGCAATTAGTTAGAATTTTGTAGGTGGTAATATAAGCTTTGGATCGAGTCTCAAATAATCTACATCATTTGCTTTTAAAAAACAAAATTAAAGGGAAAAGAGTACAATTGTATTGACCACCACTATTATATTTTGTAGCCACTACTTATGTTTCGAATTAAATGTATCGACATTTTACACTATTTATGTGTCTCACTTTAACTATAAGTTTTTATTGAAACTTAGAAACAAATAAATATACCTATCTTCAACATAGTAACTTTAAATAATAATTACTACAACTAATTCCAAGCTCGCAATTGCTGCCTGAAATTACTCGCAGTAATTATTATCAAGAGTTAGAGGACTATATGTATTGGTAGCATCATAGATCATGAAGTTTTAATGGTGAAAACGGGCTACACTTTGCTGAAGAATTCAGAGAGATGTAATTCCTTGGAGGGTGTGAAGGACTTTCTTAAGGTCTTGTGGTTAAAGATGGAAATATCCAATGGATCACCCGCTCACTTGCTCCACCCGCCTTATTGTACGGGTGAAAAACCTGGTTTAAACGAATGATAGGCGGGCTATGGATTAACGGATGCGGGTGACGGATCGGATTCGGGTGGAAAATTTTCACCCACCACCCGATCCGTTAACCCGACCCATTACCCAAATATTTCAAAAAAAAACAAATAATGTTTTTTAATTTCTGAAATTCTTTATACTGGGATAGGCCCAACTAAGCTAATATCCTAATACAAATGTAATTCCTAAGCTAATGTCCTAATTCCTAAACCCTAACATTTCAAAAAAAAAAAAAAAAAAAAAAAAAAAACAAAACAAAAAAAAAACAAAAAAAACCACCATGACTTTCTCTCTTGCCTCTCTCTGCCTCACAGTGGCACCACTATAACAAGGTCGACGGTGGCAGCAGCAAGGCAAACAGATATGATTCATCAGTTCCCCTTCAACACCTTCAATAGTTTCTCCTTCCCCCATTACAAATATGCAAGCTCCGCTACCCCCGTCCTCCTTCTCGACCACCACTACATCCATCTTCATCAAAGAGAAAGGTTGCTGAACTTAAAACATGATTTGAGTTTAGTGAAGACACCAAAAGTGATCCAAGTTACCAAATTTCGGGCTTTCTCAAAAGCAGGAAACTTACATTTTTTAATTTTAATTTTTCATATTATACATCCAATGATCACCCGAACCATCCGTTTCACCCGTAGGTGATGGATGGATGGATTCGAGTGGATGTTATAGCGGGTGGTGGATGGATTGGGTGGGGTGGATGGAAGCAGGAGATGGTCCACCCGCCCCAAACCCGATCCATTTCCATCTCTACTTGTGGTCCCTTAACATTCTCCCTAAATGGAAGATGTTCATGTAGAGAGTATTATCAAACGATATTGCTATGAAGAGTAATTTGAGACGGCGGGTATGGATATTGATACCCTTTGTGATCTGTATGTGTCGATTGCAAGAGGGAGATTTACATCTTTTCAGATTTTGCACATCTGCAACAGATGCATAGAGGGGTGGAATCCTACAGATCCACTTAGAAGCAAATACAGACAAGTCAATTGTTGACTTAATTTTGTACTATATCCGTCTATTCACAGGTTAGGATGGAATTAGTGGCCATAGGAATACTTTCTTTATAGTTACACTTTGGGAGTTGTGGTTGCAAGAAACACCATAATTTTTTAGGGTAAAAACAGCAGTCATCAATTGTCGATGCCGGCTATTATTTTTAAATGGTTTAAGGCAGCAAAGTCTATTTTCAAAAGATATAGGGGACAATCTACGTGTTTGAACCTTGCAGGGCAAGGATGAGATCACCCACCTTGGTTCCTATGCGTTATTTTACATAATGATGGCACGAGTGATATTTTTACAACGACAATATTGGTAAATGGCTCGTCACTCGTGGAATAAACGTACTCATGGATTAGGATGGAAGTGGTGTCTGGAAATAGAGGAGTTTAGTATTCAGGGAATGGTGGGGGGAGCGGCTCACGGTTTGACTTGAAGGTCTTCGGTGAGGAGCTAATCGTTTATTGCAGGCTATCACAATTTACACATACTCTGCTTCTATGGTACAAATGCTCAAGGAGGAAATTGTTATTTATCTCAGCGTTAGATGGACAGCGGATGATGTTCGCTGAACTAGTAAGGCCCTTTACATGGTGTAGAATCCATAAGGTTCAAAGAGAACTAGTTCACAAGGCTCATATATTTGCTACCACGGCTAAATAGTAGTTTATCTCCCATTAACAATGCATTTTAGTTTGTTTGTTTAAGCTAATGTCAAATAAAAAAAATAAAATAAAAAAATAAAACTCTAAGTTATAGATAATTAGAAATGTGAATTTCTATTCGTCGCTCCTATTTTACAAGGCGACGCTCCCATTTTAATGTAAAGTTACCGTTTTGCCCTTGTGTGAATTTGGGCTACATAAGGCTCCACCACTTTGTCACATAGTTTCCCGAGCATTTTAATATTATTCCCTAGAACTTTGACCCACCACTTGCCTTAAAAAAATCCCGAGCCCGAAAATTCCCGAGCCCACCACCAAAAATATTAAAGTTTTTTACAAAAAAAATTATCAAGGTTTAGCGACGGGTTTTGGACGATGAACGACGACGACAATCGTACACCGGAGGCATCTTCGGAAGAATCTGTAAGTCGTAGAACTTTTTTTTTTTAAAAAAGGCACATTCGCCCAAAAAATCCGGATCCTCCATGGATGTTCCGGATGTTTTGGGCGGATGTGCCTTTTTCATTTTAATTTGTTTTTATTTTTTATTATTATTATTATTATTATGATTATTATTATTATTATGATTATTACGATTATTATGATTATGATGATTAATATTATTATTATTATTATTATTATTATTATTATTATTATTGTTGTTGTTTTGTATTATTATTGGTGAGCATAAATTGGGTTAAGAAAAAAATGTGGTTTGTAATTGTTATTAATATTGTTATTATTGTTATTGTTATTGTTATTGTTATTATTATTATTAGTTATTTTTGTTAGTATTAGTTTATGTTAATATTAGTTAATGTTAGTGTTAGTCAATATTAGTTGATGTTGTGAAATTAGTTAATGTTAGTGTTAGTTGATGTTAGTTAATATAAGTTAATATTAGTTAATGTTGTTGTTATTATTATTATTATTATTATTGTTGTTGTTGTTGTTGTTGTTGTTGTTGTTGTTGTTGTTGTTGTTGTTGTTGTTGTTGTTGTTGTTGTTGTTGTTGTTATTATTATTTTCATTATTGTTATTATTATTCTTATTATTATTATTACTATTATTATGATTGTTGTTGTTTTATAAATATTGTTATTAATATTGTAATTATTATTATTATTGTTGTTTTATAAATATTGTTATTAATATTATAATTAAAATACTAATATTGGAGTATTTTGTTTGTTTTCTTTTATGTTTATAGGATGCGGAATTTGAAGACGGTTGTGACGGTGTGAATTATAGTGCTCATTTTGTGATGAACACGTATTTTCCAACGTTTGAAGATGTAGTGGAATGGGCGGATGTTGTTTCCATAAATCTTGGATTTATTTTGGTTAAGTCGTCGTACAACAAAACTAGAGATGGGAGGCCTTATTGGTATTTGAGATGTGATCGGGGACGAAAGAGCAAGCCGAGAGATTTGGAGGACGTTATTCGAACGGACACAAAGACCAAAGCTAATGGTTGTCCTTTCTACATCAAGATATACTACGAGTTTGTCACCGATAGTTGGAAGATCCGGGCAAGAAATGATGCAACTGGGACCCATAACCATCCAATGATTGTGTATCAGGAGGGTCATCGTAAAATTAGTGGGTTGAGTCCGGATGCGAAGAAGGTTGTGCGTGACATGACGAAGTCCAAGGTTGCACCACGTAACATCATGGCGACTATTGCAGAGCAAGTTCCTGATGATCATCCAAACATCAGACACATTTACAACTGCCAAAATGACTTCAGAACGGAGATGTCTGATGGGAGAGGAGTTGTTCAGCAATTTCTTCATTTGGAGAGACAGAGTCAGTATCTTTACTAGGTCATGTCTGATGATCTCGGTGTTCTACAGCATGCCTTTATGGTGCACCCAGTCACGGTAGACATACTACGGACGTACCCATATGTGATCGGTATGGATTCCACTTACAAGACCAACCGATACGGGATGCCACTCTTTGAGATAGTTGGTGTGACACTGACAAATCAGAATTTCCTCCTTGGTTATGTGTTCATGCGCAACTAGTGCACGGCAAGCTATCGCTGGGTTTTGTAGAGACTGAGAGAGTTGATTGGGTATGATAAGGAACCGTCGGTATTTCTGATAGACCGTGAGCTTGGGCTATGTGCGGCATTGAGAGAAGTGTTTCCAGGGACCTCGCATTTACTTTGTCGATGGAACATTAACAAAGATGTGGAGGCTCGGGTCACTGATATGTTCAAAAACAAGAGGATCGGTGCGAGTTTCAAAAACGGAAAATGGAAGCGTATCATGGACGCTGCAACCGAGGAGGATTATAATGATGTTGTAGATACAATGAAAGCTCGGTGGGCAAGTTATCCGGCGGTGATTAGTTATGTTGAGAGAACATGGCTTTGTCATAAAACCAAGTTTGTGACATTTTGGACAAACCAAGTTCTACATTTTGGCAACACTAACACTTGTAGAGTTGAGAGACAACATTCGGTCGTGAAGATGTGGTTTGAATCTTCGACAGGTCCGTTGTTTTTATGTTATAGTTGATGTATGTACTTCGTTTTAGTGATTTTAATTATAAATCATAACGGTTTTTTTGTAATGTTAATGAACGACAGGTTCTTTGGATACCGTATGGGTCCGAGTACATTGCCATATTGGTAATCAGCTCATTGCAATTCGTAATGGTTTGGAGGCGTCTAGGTCGAAGATTGCTGAGAAGTACCGACAATTGCCTATGTCATGTATCAACGGCAAGGTGTCCCAGCGTTGTTTAAAAGTTCTGGATGACGAGACGAGAAGGATGAGGGAGCTGAGTTATCACGTGTATGAGCGTTGTGGATGTGCAATGCGTGTGACCCACGGTTTGCCCTGTGCCTGCCAGATAAATGATTCTCTAGCTGCCAAAACAGGCTTGTATATTAGGAAAATTCACCCGTTCTGAAAGACCTTGGTTATCGGTGATGGGGATGATGTACCGGTTTTCGGTAATGACTCGACCGAGGATGCTACACATTTTCGTTCTCTGGTGGATGAGATAATCGGTAGTGATCCTGCTGTCCTTCAAAATGTATCTCGCATCATTGAGGAGGAGCTGCATCCGGATCATTCAAACCTTGGAGATCCGAATGTAAACCACAACGTTCGTGGTCGACGAAGGAACAATGATACAAGACGTGATCGTTCTTATTTCGAACATGTCAACCGTCAAAACCTCAACGTGGTGAAAGGCAAACATGTACGATTGGCTATTGTGATTTTCACGAATTTCATCATTTATCGTGCTAATAACTGAACATTAATTTTGTGCAGAAGATCCATGTGACGTCAGGCAAAGCCGGTATCGGCACTTGCTTCCAGGACCGATGTTGCCTTATATCACGGCATGGAAGGATGTCATTGGCGATGGTAACTGTGGCTTTCGTTGTGTGGTCGACTTCTTCTTCGGTGATCAAGCGCAATGGTTTGACGCTCGGGAAACAATAGCAAATGAGGTTGCCGCTCATCCATTCCTGTATGAAAGGATTTACAGGATTGGAAGGGTTCGAATGAATGTGGAGCCTATTCGATGGGACGGTGGGGCGGTTGATTCACGTCATTGGATGGTTGCAATTCAAGATTTATTTCCTATTGCTACTTGGTTCAACGCAAGGGTTATTATTCTTGGTGTAGGCACCGTACCAACCTGCTACTACCCATGCCTCACGATCTTACCGTTGCGGGCACGAAACACAATCAAGGCACCCGCCCGGGAGTTTGTGATCGCTACAGTTGGGGGGTCACATTTCATCCGTATTGATCTTGCTCAAAATTCACCTCTTCCCCCCGATTGCAGGATGGTGGACCGAGCACCACGAATGGGATCAGCAATATGAAGTTAGACGGGACATGTGGGATGCATTAATTAGGCAGTGAACTCATTTATGTACTTTCACTTAGGTTGAAGAGTTGTACCCATGTAGGCACTGTAATGGACACTGAGACTAATGAATGTTTGGGTAATTTTGGATAAATATGTAAGTTTATCAATTGTTTTAGAATTCTACATCTTCTGATTTCTTGTTCGATTTTTATGCGATTATATTTGTTAATTTCATCGATTTTTTCCTTGATCTTTTGTTTGATTTTTGCGATTTTTTTTCATCTATTCTATAATCTGATTTCATTTTGTTCATTAATTTTTGCGAATTTTTTCAGTTTTTTTTCCGGAATTTTGCGATTTATTTCGATTTTTATGCGATTTTTTCCTAATTTCATCAATTTCGACTTCAATTTTTTTTATTTTGTTCCTTTTTTTTTTCAATTTCATAACAGTTGTAGCTATGTAATATAAATCAATAAAAGCAATTAAACAAAGTTTTAACAAAACCAAATATTAAATAAGTCTCTAGTTGTTAAATTACATGCCGAATACAAAGTACTGTAAAATAATCACTATAAGCTAATATAAAACTAAAAGACAAGTACGAAAAGTACTCGTAGGTCCACGCCTGCAGAAGTGTGAGACAACCAGCGATTGAATCGGCATCTTTTCTTGATGACGTACCCAACTGGCGATACAGATATGCTAGAGTAGCTGAACCCCAAGAGTACTCATTGATCGGAAGATCATGAACAATAAGCTCGTTGAGGAAGGACGGATGAGTACGGTTACCACTCTTGTCCAATAACAGACATCCGCCCAACACTAACCACATGTACACACCGTAATGGACACTAAAGGGCCTCTGCGCCTCCAAGGGCGAGTCCATAATCCTCTCGGTCAGCACCCCACTACCCTGCCAAACGGTTTTCGTACCGCACTTCTTGTTCAGCTCTTCCGCAGTCATGTCCATGGTAGACGAGCACGCGTCCCGTATGACGTCCGTGCTGGGAGAAATGGAAACCATGGAACCATAAACACGAAGCCCAAGAATATGGTACACATCGTGCAACATGATCGTGATCTCCACAAATGGCATATGAAACGTGTTCGTATCTGGCTGCCATCTCTCTACAAACGCAGAAATCAGTGGCCAGTCAAAACGCCTAAACATGATCCTTGGTAAGTGAGACATACCACTACCGTCAATCAATTTCAGATGCTCCTGTGCAAGAAGACCTCGCCAGGTAACCAATGCATAACACAACTGTGTCCTGCTCAAACAGCGCAAAACATTACGCTCCTGCCCGCCCCAAATATATGCAACCACGTGACCACCAAAACTGGGGATAACAGTACCATCCTCAGGACCACCTGGCATCGGCTGCTGCACTACCCATGTCTCTGCTGAGCTGGTGGAAGGCTGACTATCTTGACTGCTACTCACAAATCTCCCATGCTGACCCCTATGCACCGTATGATAATCCTAAGGGTCGTACTCTTCATCTCGATCAGCCTGACTTGCCCGCTCATCGTCCTCCCCGTCAGATGTCGGCACTCCACCCGATGAGTACATGGGGGGGCTCCCTTGCGACTGATGCTCCCCCGAACAAGTACCAGCAGACCCATATTGCTGCTCATGATGATACGGTGCCCCCGTATTTACCGAACGACCCGACTCCCTCCTAACAGACGCATTCAAACGTCTTGATACTGCATGACGAGGACTCGAACCCTCAATCTACATTAAATAAGTACAAAATCAAATATCAGTAATAATTACAAATATAACTATGATATTATAGTTGAACAACTATAATTCAAATTCAAAAAAATAATTTCAAAACAATAATAAACCAAATCAAATAAACAATAATAACATTACTAACAATAACAATAATAATATTATAAATTACACACCACAAAATTGGCAACATACTACTAACAACATTACAACACACTACTAACACACTACTAATAATTTCAAAACAATAATAAACCACAAAATTGGCAACATTACAACACAACAACAACCATAATAACAATGGTAATAATACTAATGACAACAACAATAATAATTTCAATCAATTTTTTATAAAATTTTAATCACGAAAAAATACATAACAATAACAATAAAAAAAAACATTATATTAGTAAAAAAAAAATACATATCAATAATCACGAGGAAAAAAAAATTCAAAAATTAATAAAAAAACATATACATAACAATAATACATAACAATAACAATAAAAAAAATTATATTAGTCAAAAAAAAATTACATATCAATAATCACGAGGAAAAAAAAATTCCAAAATTAATAAAAAACATATACAAAAAATAATACATAACTATAACAATAAAAAATATAAAATTATATTATTTAAAAAAAATACATATCAATAATCACGAGAAAAAAAATTCAAAATTAATAAAAACCATATTTGAACACATATTAATCACGACAAACACAAACACAAAAAATAAAATAAAATAAAATAAAATAAATTCGAAAAACCCAGACTTCCGCCTGAAAAATCCGGATGTCTGGGGGAACTTCCGGAATTTCCCGGCGGAAGTCTCCAGAAACAATTTTTTTTTTTCAAATTAAAAACAACTATAATCACAACCATACCTGCTCGTCGCCACTAACGCCGCCCCCACAACCATCGTATGTCAGCCTTATGCGTCGCCGGTCCGCCATAGTCGGATTCAACCTTGGATGGGTGGTGTTTGTGTGATTTTCAAATGTTCAATTTTTTTTTTTTTTTTTTTTGTAAATTTCTGACTTTTTTTTTTAGAGTGATAAAATTTTAGAGAGAGATTATGTTGGTAGTGAAATGACTTGTAAGTTTCGTAAGTTAGTTTCACAAGTATTTGTATACGAGGGACAAATAAGAAAATTCAAATAAAAAATACAAACGTCACCTTATAATTTGCGACCGACGTTTAACAACACCCGAAATATTTATTAACGAATACCA